GGCTTCTACCACAGCTCATGCATGTTGGCCACATGTAGCATGACAGCGGACGCCTGTTGTGCATCCGAGGTATCACTTCTTGATGCGCGAATTGCATCCCGACAAAGGCAGCGTAATGCCATGTTACACACCAACGGCTGTGCGACTCAAGATGCTTCTCCTTTTCTGTTGTTTTAAAGGTCCTTTCACTGGCGGACCAGCAGCCACAGAACGCTTTCATGAGGTCCCCTGACGTTCATGCTTTACTCGAGGCATCTCGAGGAAACTGAATCTGATTGCACGTTCAGAGTTTTGGCGGCATTGACTGGTATTCAGGTGCAAAATGCTTGGCGCTGCCTTTCGAACCCAACCAGAAGGCTTGAATATTTCAATTGTCTTGAGGAAAATGAAAATCATCCACTGCAGACTTCACCCTAGTCTTGTGGGGGGCTGGGTAAAATGCTTTTATCCATTGGTTGTCTCATTGCTGTTACGTGACATAAATTGTGGAGAATTGGTTGCTGCAGGTTTGGCATATGTGACATGTCATTCGGCCACCGCGCCAGGCTTCGCTATGATTTGCGAACCTTCGGACGTTCGTCCATTGGATCCGTGGGTCAGGGAGAAGAGCTCTTGATCAAGCGTTTCAAGGACTGGCTGCAGCTTTATTCAGTGCAATTGGGTGTTGCAAATTGAATGCTTGGCTCAGAAAACTTTGGCGGCATCGGTCTGAATTCCATCTGCTGCGAGACATGCCGTGCAGCATTGCAGGAGCAGGCAGAAATCGATGTCCGAAACATGCAGGCAGCAAGTTTCAGGATAGCTGTGTACTGCTAAGCGATCTGTTGCAGCGGCAGGAAAGGCTTTTGCAGAATGCTCCACTTGTTGGGCAGGTACAGCTTCAGCGGATCCTGCAAAAACAGGAAAAGGTCGGGGGCGTGTTCGTGACCCAGGCCACTTGTAAAACATTCCACTCCAAACTGCAAAGGTTCTCAGCTTTCTTCTTGCCGGCTTCCTTGCTAGGCAATTTACGGCAACTTGCAGCTGCGAGAAGAGAGCTTGCAAGAAGCGCTGGTGGGAGACAGGACTTGACATGCTTGCAGCGAGTCACGCCTTGGCTGCTGCGTGTTGTCGGATTGTCGGACTGGTGTGTTCCAAATGGACAACCTTATGCGCAGGACCATCTCTGAAGAGGACCTCGTGGGGCCTTGGATAGACGTGACTGTTCCTGTACAGTGCTTGGTGTCCTGGATTATTTGGGAATAGTTTTGGTTCTAGATGATTCAGGTTTGACACCATCATGAAACAGCTCATCTAACCATGTTTTGTCTGTCTTCGACGACCTTTACATATTCAGTTTTTGGCATGCATAGCCCTTAGTTCTAGTAAGTGTTTCTGCACGGTAGACGAGCCAGGAAGTTACAACATACCTCAATCACTGAAGCTAGGTGCGGTTCTGCAGGCACTCCAAGTGAGTGTTGTTGCAGGCCGTTGATGTTGGTAGTGACTAGTTAGCAGTCCGGTCTTGCCAGTGCACACACGGCATTACGATTTTTGTTGGCTCTCTTTCATGCCATGGGCGGACTTGTGCCCTGATTTGACTTTAACACAGACTGCACGAGCCTTTGTAGCCCCAACGTGTTGAAAAGCAGTTAGTGCATTGTTCCTTTGAGGTTCAAAACCACAAAATTGTCTTACGTGGTGGCATCACTGCGTCAAAGGCCAGCTGTTGATTTCAATCCTCTGCGCTTCTGGTAGTGGCACATGCGCGGAGCATGCTCGCTGTGCAAGGCGGACCTTCCCGGGTTTTACAACCCATTGCCCCTGCAGTCTGACACAGAGCTCAGCCTCTATGTATTGTACAAGTTCCACGGCGTGCCGCATGAGGCCGGCATCTTGGAGAGTGGTGACATTCTATGGGGCAATTCCGGGGCAGCAAATTGCTCAACTGGAGGAACACCTGCAGTCGATGTGCCAGTATGGTGTCTTTCCCCACAGAGGTTGATGCCTTCATCTTGTAACGGGTGCTATGGGTTGGAGGTTCACTGCCGTTGCTGTCCTTATGTATGGTCTCTACACTGTTTCCACCAACTCTTGGTTCTAGACCCCTTCCTCACACCAGCTAAGTCGACATGCAATGTCACCGTCCGGAAAGTCTGCACAAACCGTCCTCACAACATGTGACACTGATTGCCAGTGTTTGCAGTAGTCGTGAGTGAACCGTATCATGTAATGACCAGCTACATGGCATAGCATGTTGAGGAACCATTTGTGCTTGTAGCGGGGAATTACCCAGCCATCCTGAGGCAACGGGACCAGGTAGGAATGTGTTATCGGAAAAGAGTAGTGAGATTTGTTAAGGCATGTTGAAGCTACATTTCAGGTCACAGTGGGTGACTGCGAGCCGCTGTCCATACCGATGAGGACATTTGCACTAGAGCCTACAGTAGTGAGATTCCTTGTCTCTGTTATTTCAAACTAGGGATGGATGGAATGCGTTTCGCTTGTGAAGTGGATTGGTCAGCTGCAGATTGTCATCTGTCCTCATACAGATGCTAAGGAGTTTATGCCCTGAAGACACTTTGTCCCATGCAGTGAACAGCACGGAGCTGCGATTCAAAGGACGCATGTCATTCCGGACGGTTCGCACCGACGAGGGCCATTCTCTTCCGCAAATGCGGACCTCATCTTGCGAAGAAGGTCCCAAAATCTTGCTGGCCAGTTTGTGCCATGACCACGTAGAATCCCTAGTTTGCTACCGTTTGGATTATCTCTCCTGTTGCAGGCAAAATGTTGCTGCTACTTCCCAGCTGCAGCTGCTGTCGCCAGAAGAGGCCTGTCCCTTACTGATGTTGATAGGATTGTGTAGCAGAATCCTTGACGCTGAACCCCCGACTGCCTCTGTGTTTAATCTCCGTATATCATATCCAGGGTCCCCAGAAATAGCTACATGTTTGAGAAACCCTCATTTAGCCTTCCAGTCAGGAGCTGCAGAAGGTTGTCCATACACACCTGATTTGGCGACTTCATGGACACCATGGAGACGTCTCCAAGCGAGAGCCAGGGACTGAGTCGTGTTTGGGATCTTGTCGTACACGGAGCAAAACGATAGTTCTTGAATGTGCTTCTCTGCAATGATTTCCTTCTTCAACAGTCTTGCGGAAAGAATTCATGATGTGGATTATTCTATATGGGGATTATATAGGGTTTATTATATATGGGGTAATATATTTTTTTTTGTTTTTAATATACGGGGTTTTATAGGGTTTACTATATATGGGGACCATATAGGGTTTATTATTTAACATTTGGACCATATGTTCAAGCTGCCCCGCCCCTCACCGGCTTACCTGCTAAGTCTTTCTGTGAACCATTCACCATCGGGCAAACGTCAGATTTTGTGGCAGCACTAACGAGCTCAATAATAATAATAATGGCAATAATAATAGTAGCAAGAATAATAGTATTAATCATAGTAATTATAATGATGGTAGTAATAATAGTAATGGATAGTCCACTGTCAGGTACCGCTTTATGATGTGCATCTTCGCTAGCATTGCAGCGGTTGGTCTCTACTCTGCCCTGCGTGGCTTGGCAATGGCTGCAAGGTCCTTTAAGACTTATCTTGGGGGTTGTGAAAGTGATGGTCCTTTTTCCGGGCCGCTCCAAATATTCGGGGGCCGCAATACAACAGGGACCCAACATGGGACCCTGTTGTATTGACAACCTACCATCCGATGCAGGGTGAAAGTGTTGAACCTCAAGTAAGAGCCTGCCTCAATGATGCGTCTTGCCATCGTGTCAAACAGAGATTAATAAAAACAACAACAACTGAGGTGCAGGTCCTCGAGCATGATGCTTTCCAGTGTGTGCGTGTCAAAAAGAAGAATTTGCTCTGACCCTGCCTTCCGGCGTCAAAGCCTCCTTGCTGTCATTATCTCGTGAAGGCGCAAGATGCGACACAACATGTGGCAGACAGCCTTTTGGCTCCCAACCGGGACCTGCGGTAAACATTTAGAGTTGCAGGCGAATGGCCCTCAGTCTTGGTAGGTTGCTTGTTGGAGAAAAGTCACCGCGCGAGATGGTGATGAGCATGGCGCATCTCCACAATTACTCATGAAACAATCGGACAACCCTTGCCCCGCTCCCATCAGGGCAGCCTTGTGTTCGTCATAGTGAGGTAGACGCTGTAATTCCGCTCTTGACTTACGACCTGCGGCACCGTCATCTCTCAAAGAAGTATCGGGATCTGGAAGTGATGCGGTGCGGATCGCCTGCAGTTATTTTTATCTCGAAGCTTGGGTAGTTTAGCAAATGAAGAATCAGAAAATCAGAAGTTTGTGCTGGTCTCTGCAACTCCTAAGCATGTTGTTGGTAAGCTGGCCAAAATGCAAAACCTGTCGCAAAAAGTCATCACGGTTTCCGTGATGGTGATGGTTGATTCGATGCTGCAACAGCTCATCTTTGTCTAGAAATAGCTATGATTGTGGGTTTATGGGCTGGTGGGGCCTCTCAACAAAGACAGTCTGCTGGCCTGTCCACATTCTTGGCTTTAGGCTTACTTCCTTTCAAAGAGCCCTGTACTGGCCCTGCCCTTAGGGGCCCCCAAGAGACCCGACTTTGTTGCTGACTGCTGGTGGATTTTTCAGTTGCGAAGCTTGGCTCCGAGCCCCACGGCATGGCTGCATCAAATCGAGCACGTGCAGCACTTCTAGCGGAGTGAGCATACCGGCTTGGCTGAGCAGATGTTTCTGCTTCCAAGGGTAATCTTAGGCTTCCAGGCGGGTATAGCGGCATGACTCGAGGATGTGGGCATTCTTAATCACAAAGACTGGTAGACTAGACTCAGCAGATGCAAGCTGGGTGACCGGTAAATCCGCAAACAACTTTGTTTTTCCCGATGGCCGGCGTGTGCAGCCTCCTTGTCCTGGTGGCACAGCAGCTTGTCCTAGCCTCGCTTTGCACAAGGATCCTAGGAGTTGATCAGTGGCAGCACTGATGTCTGACAGTGGGTTGTCAAGGTTGCAGATGTCGCTGCAAGCTCGAAACCACATATCATTCATATCCTTGCGGATGACTTCGGTTGGGCTGACGTGGGTTGCTTGGCAGCTCTGGGGCTAGACTAGCAGCTTGCCATTCTGTTCACAACGAGAAGCGTTGGCTTGAAGTGCCATGCGGCCAAGATGCTGTTGGTTCAGCTGAGGGTACCACCGTGAGAAGGGGGATTCCGACGTTCAGACGCCTAATCTTGACGCGCTCGCAAGGCATTTCGCATCTTCATGAGGAGCAGTTGCGTGCATGTTATTCGAACAAGGGCATAAATTATGATAATTGTCAGTGCTAGCGCGCGTCCGCCTGGGCAGCTGGCTGGCAAGACATCGCAGGGTGGGGGAATCTGGGGCGGCTGCGGGGAGCTGGCCAGAAAAAGTTCCTTTCCAGGCAGAACTGGGGTTCGGCAACGAATGTCATTGGGGCAATGGGTCCCAAGGCAAGCTTTGACGCCTGTTGGCCAGAGGCCGAGGCAAATTATATAGATCTAGCCAAGTATGTAAGCCTGCATGCATAGTGTGTTGGCACGCGCACAGCGTACGCCTGCAGTAGACCTGGCGCACCGTGCCTTGATACTGATGATTGGGCAGGTCTGGCATTGAGCTTGATCGGTTCTACACATACCAGTTCTGCTCTCCTGCAAGAAGCGCGATTCAGACTGGGCGCAATCCCATACACGTGAACGTTCAGAACGTGAATCCTGAATGTGTGAACTCACGAGATGTTCAGGGCGGATTTCAGGGTATTCCTGTGAACATGACCGGTATCGCAAGCCATCTACGGACGGCTGGCTACAGCACACACATCATCGGGAAGTGGGATGCTTGGCGATGTTTCAGCTGAGCAGGCGGGCAACCTCTGCCCACAGCTGTCAACACTGCTTGTGAAGAACTTGTGGTCTTGTCGCAGACAGAAGAAATCAAGCATTGTTGTACTGGTGTGACCTGCACTAACTGTGCCGTGCAAAGAAACCCGAGCATTTTGTTCCAAAGCCTTTTCATTTCACGTCTGGAGTCCTGATGCTTGGCTGCCTGGGGCAATGCCGCATCGGAGCGCCTCTATCGTGGTCTTTTTAATGACAATTGGGGCAAGGAGTTGGTCATTTTCTTGGACAACATCATTGACTATCTTTGTTGCGTGTTGGATCAAGTTTTGAATCTCATGTTTGTACTGCTACAAAGTTGCACTGAGACTGATATTTTCGACGAAGCCGCACTGCAGCCTCTGGCGGTGCTCGCACACTCATCGCGTCACAAACAAGGCTGCTACGCAGCCTCGCGCATTGTCGTAATCAGATTCAACCTTTCCTGCTCCCGGCAGCAAAGAAGGCTGATCCCGCGGAAAGCCCCTCTGTGCTTGCAACTTTGGCCGAGCAACTTTCGTTGGAAGTCTGCGGCTGGACCGGGCATTGCACTTTTTAAGCTTGTGTTTTGAACCCCCGTCTTTTCAGTCGTTTGGGCCTTCCGGTGCGGCTCGACATTGAGCCGTGAAGCCTGCGCCAGATGACCTGGATGGACCTTCTGGGTTCCATGCGCGCCACCAGTTTTGAGACACTTTCATGGTGAGTTCAAAGCTGGTCGCCCTCCCGAAGTAACGGTCATGCTTGAACTGCTAGCACGTTAGTTTTCAGAATGTACAACCGGACATGAACCTTCAAGTTCCCTTGTCACAGGCCATGAACGCAGGCTATGTACCAGCACGATGCGTTTTCATATGCTTATTGATCTTGCTGCTAAGACTGACGCCGAAATTCGGAGGGAGAAAGGTTTCCGCCAGTTCCTTGAAAGCTAAGGATGTGGGAATGGCTACCTTCCAGCACCACCCGAGAGCCCGAGGATATGATAGTTGGTTGGGTTACTGGCACCACAGTAACGACTACTGGCAGCACACCGTGGACCACTGTGGGCTACGCAAGATCAAGGATTTGTGGAAATACAACGCATCCTATGACGGTCCAGCATGGGAGCTTGCGAACGGACACTCCTGTTCCCAAGAGAACCAGAGTCCGGCAAATGAGATTTGTGTCTACGAGGAACAACTTCTCACAAATGCCGTCAAAGATGTGATTCGCGCGCATGACGATTCCAAGCCCCTGTTCCTGTTCTGGTCAATGCATTTGGTGCACATGCCGCTGCAAGTGCCCATCTCATATGAGCAAAAGCCTCTTGCCTGTACATAGGCAAGCTTTCCCTTATTCTGCATTGATCGAACGATGAAGTCCCAAGTTGCAAGCTAGCAGAGGTTTGCCTTCATCAAGGACAAGCATCGTCGCCTACTGCATGCTATGGTTCATTATATGGACGATCAAATTGGAGATGTTGTCCAGCTGCTCAAGGCAGCTTCGAGCTGACGTCTTTAAAAGATGGTGTGGATGAGATAGATGTGGTCAAGGTCGTGTATACTAGTACAGATTAGAGGCATTTGGCCTCTAGGCGCCTGGTTGAAGTGCCTTTTTCGAAGATCCCAAACAGTTCATGAAGCCAAACATCATTTTTGCGAAGGTAGGTCTCGTAAACCTGGACAGATCTGACCGAGCACATAATAAAGCCAAGTAGGAGTTCTCGCGAAGCTACGGATTGCACAGTTTGCCTTCTTGGTATTATATCTCCATACTATGTCTCCAGTTCCAAACGCAACAGTTGAAAGATTGAATTACTAAATCTGCTTGAACTGCAAGTTAGTTAAGCACGCATGACAGGAAAGAGAAATGTGGAACCACAGCCTCGTAGTTTTCCACAGCGACAATGGTGGAGAGATTATGGGTGCTGGAATGTGTGGGGGCAATAACTGGCCGTTGCGAGGAGGCACCTTGCCACAACTCACATGAAAAAATGGAAAAGAAAATGGAAACGGGGTTTAGGGGTTAGGGATAGTGGAAAACGAGCTGGAAACTACTATAGGGTTTAGGGTTTAGGGTTTAGGGATAATGGAAAGGAAAATGGAAACTACTTTAGTATTTTGGGGTTATATAGGGATAATGGAAAAGAGCATGGAAACTACTATAGTATTTTGCGGTTATTTTGGTGAATAATGTGGCGTGACGTGATTGTTGAGTGCTTCGCCAGTGCAGGCAAGTTCTCCAACTTTGAGGGTGGAATCCGTATCCTGGTTTCCATTCAAGTTTGCATCTTCTTTTCCTTTTTTCTAACGCTGCCCGGCAATATCTCTGTATAACACCTGTCACTGAACCCTAATTCTAGTCCTTTATGTTATACCCCCAGACCCTAGAACCTAAACCCTATAATCCCTATAGGAGCAAGCCTCTGGTGTTCAGCCAAGGGGTTAATGCCTTCGTGGCAGGTGGGCTCGTACCGTCCTCTCGCTGGAAACTCAGGAGGAAAACGCTGGGATAAAGGGTTTGGGGTTTAGGGAAATTGCTCCAACTTTGGAGAAAATCAAATGGAAGGAGCATGAACCCAGAAATGGAGATTGGCTTTTGATTGTTCATGCACCCTTGCCGCTGTCTCGGTCGACAACAATCTCTGGCCTCGTCCTGCACTGACCGTGGTTCTCTGTTCAAGGAAGAGCCATCAAACAAACGGACAATCCAAAACAGGTTTTGTCTGGCCATTGTAAGATATCTGACCATCCCAACATTTTTTTGATCAACAAAAAACGTCCTTTTTTAAATGCAGAACTGTAGAACTGTACCAGCCATCAGAACTTTTTTTGATCAAAAAGCGTCTTTGTAAAATCCAGAACACTCACAGGGACCGCCGGGTTCGGGGTCACGATCCTTGTGGATGTTCAAAAGTGTCAACAGTTACAGGAATCGTGGGAGTCGGGGTCACGACCCTCGTAATTGTTTTGCTTTTGGACCTTCGGATCCTCTTGAAGTTTGAAAAAGTGTCAACAGTTACAGGGATGTGGGTCGAGGTCGCGAATGTCGCGATTCTCGCGATGTATATTACAGCATTTGAAATTCTGAAGAGCTTGTAGAGAGTGTACATCACAGCATTTGGATGTCTTTAGAGCTTGCTGATACTGTAAAACACAGCACGCCAGCTCCGCTTGCTGATGTATGTTGTAAATGTCACGTTGCCTTTGCCAAGTGCCCGGATTTTGGAACTTGGGACGGCTTCATGACAAAGACAGAAGCTGAATTCTGGCAGGCACAGTATTTCGGCTCTTCGAACACATTCCAGCATTCCTGTCATGAGAAGAGTAGCCGGACAGCGTGCAGAAACAAACCTGCCTAGAACCTTCATCGATATGCTCCAGGCCTGGGCACTTAGAGCACTCGGAGCTTTGCAAAGAACGTAGAGATTGCGAGTTGCAGCGTTTGATGAGATTGTCAGTTCCCAGTTGGATGGTGCAAACCCCGCCTTGCAAATAATATGACCGGCATAATCCCCCCTCACCTCCATTACAGCCAACATGGCGATAACATGATATTTTTACCGCAACCATGGATGGATTCAACAAAGCGCAGGTTGGAGGGGCGCAGCCCCACCCATTTGCAAACAAAACGATCCGCACAACCCACCCATTGCAAACAAAACGATCTGCACAACCTTCCACGTTTGCATGGAGGGCTTTTCAAAGCGGGGGTTTGGGGGGACGCAGCCCGGCCCATTTGCAAACATCATGATGTGCACAACCTTCCCTTACTGCAAACATGCTGATGACATGATGCTTTTTTTATTGTAAGCATGGATGGCCAAGTTCCTTCCTTCTTTTCGTCCTTCCTTCCTTCCTTCCTTGGTTCCTTGCTTCCTTTCTTCGTTCCTTCCTTCATCCCTTGCGTCCTTCCTTGCTTCCTTCCTTGTTTCCTTGCTTCCTCGCTTCCTTCCCTTCTGCATTTTCTTTCCTTATTGCTTTCTGTATCTATATTTCATGAGAAAAGCCTTGTGATTGGTAAGTATTGTTAAGCTTCTGTGATTGGTTTTTGATCGGACAATTTTTTTTGGTTGGATTTCTTTGCGTATGCCTCTGTTCAAAGCTTTCGATATTCAGAGTGCATGCCAAGCCCTAGCTTTCCAAGCACGCATGGTTTGAGTCTAGTGTGTCACGGAGCTTTGCCAAGAGGTCGCGGAGCTCGCGATGAGGGCTATGCGACTGCATGGGACTGGCATCTGGACAAGTTTTGAAATAGTAGGCTACTGGGCCATGTAAGTACGTATAGGTTATATAGAACCCAGACTTATTGGACTTGGCTGATCAAAAATTAGCATTGCCTCCTTCCCTCATCATTCTTGCAAGGTGGTTGCAGGTCCTTGAGTAACACTTGCTAATGCTTTCAGCCCCTGCATGGCGCGTGTTCGCGGGATTGGCTGGGTCATTGTAGGTATGCCACCTACGCCGCGCTGGCTGGTGTGGATCCTGCTGACCATCAAGCAGCAGCGGCTGGGCTGCCGCCGCACGACTCCCTTGTGCCTTGGATCAACACAGTCACACGACACGCGATGTCAATCATGGATTTCAAGCTAGCATTCACAGATGTCAGATATGTCATGTATTCATGTTCTTTTTGCATGTGGCCAGAACCTTTGGCCGTGGCTGTCTGGACAAGAAGCGCGTTCACCACGCCAGGACAGCAGGTGTCATAGCTGCTGGCAAGATAGTTTATGGCTGATATCTGCATTCGATTTGTTTGTGTCTGCAGCCATTTGGCTGTTGTGATTGCTTCGCGAACCAGCCGTGACATGCGGTAGAGGTAGAGGGTGCGCCTATGCATAGTTGCACAACTTGCTAAGGAGCTCAAGCATGCAACCACGCAAGCACAACCATCTTAGAACCTGGGATTCGGAGATGCAAGAAAGATTCATTGGAAAGCAAATGCAGCCAATGGCACATTACCTAAACTTAGAGGTTCGGATGAGGATGGACAGTTCCAGCACTCCTGGCCCGCAGCACCCCCAGGAACAACCAGATACCTTGCATCAATTTACAGCAGCCCGCTTGGTGCAGGAGACAGACTGTTTTCCACAACATTCAGAAAGGTTGAAACAAAACAGCAGCGACCCTGCTCCAATAGATTTAGCACATGAATCCATGGCAGCTGAGGGCCTTGAGGTTTGCGCTGTCGTCCTGAGCGAACATGATCCAGTTCCCGAGGATGAGCGGACCGTGTCGGAGCAAATGCCGAAGGCATCCCCTTCGCCAGACATGTCGGACCCGCTTTCGGAGTTCTACTATGAGAACTTGGTGGCGATGAAGGCCTTGAGTCCAGATATCATTCGGGGTATACCCGTGTATCGGGCGTTGAAAGTGCTCCAGAGCATTTGGTTCCATGGGGACTTTCGCCAGCAGTTCTCCTTTGCGCAGGTGGTTCAGGAGTTTGATGAGTTTTGGTCTCACAGCTGGAAGACTCGGCCCTTCTTGAAGTATGCATGTGTTCTGTATCTGAACAACACTATGCCGGCATTCCTGCTGGGGTTGCTTTTCGCAGTGGTAGCTGCCATTCTCTTTGTTGCCGGAATCCTTCCGGCCTTCGTTGATTTTAGGAAAACCGTCGACTGTTACTGGTGCACACCCGCCGGGATCATCGGATACTACGCCTGTCTTCTACTTTCGGCCAGATGCAAGTCAGTTTTCCTGGACGTTGCCTGCATAGACCAAGCAGACCCTTTGCGCAAAGCTGCAGGCCTGGTCAGTCTGGGTGCATTCCTGAGAAGCTCCAAGCGCATGCTCGTCCTGTGGGATGAGTCGCTGAGTATGCCGAGATGGCATGGCGCCTCCT